TAAAACTAAAACGAGAATTTTTGTGATCATTTGACAAACCCAAACATGACCACTGACTAAGAGTCATCGTTCTAGAAACAACTTCATTAACAGTCAATTACAAGCTACTCAAAGATGATCTTAACCTTTGAGAAGCTTATCTACTGCCACCAAATTTAGCAGAAACGTTATTTTTGCGTTTGTGTTTACTTTGCTAGTGAAAACCAGGCTTAACACGTGTAGTTAAACCACAATTAGAGAGACAAAATCGCCACACATTTAATAGCAATGTTTAACGGATTACCTAACTGCGAAACATACTTGGCACAAGATCAAACTACACGTGGTCCATTATTTCACAATTTTTTTTCGTTAGTGGGAGCAGCGCAAGTTTTTTCTCATTCTCATTCACGAGATCATTTCTAAGCATTTTTAATGCGTCAAGGTCAGTAATAAGCTAATTTTTATTGAAAGCTAAGATGAACGTGGAAGGATTGATAATAAAGGTTGATGATTGGTGCGTCAGGTGACGCGAGTGTCTTAATTGTGTTGTTAACGCAAAATTAGTTTTCGAGTGCAATAATGTTTGGGGTTGATGAGGGCGACAGGGCTACACTTGGGTGCGAGGTCATCTAACTTGAAGGCAGCGTGACTTGGTGCGACATACGCTAATTATAAAGGTTAAGATCATAGCGGTGCACTAAGATTCGGTGTAGGGCAGGATAAAGGAACCAGAGTTCAAATGAGACTTGAATGATTCAACAAAACTCAATAACCTTAGACTTCAAAAGTGTGTTATTGGTTTCAATTCAAGTCACTCCGTTCAGCTCGTGTTTCAGTTCAAATTGAACTAATGATGAGCTGCGGTATGTTCAGTCCGGGAAAACCAAATTGAGTGTCTCGATACTGTAGACAAATTAAAACAAACATCGTTAAAAGGCTACCTTCACAATGTATAGGTAACATGAATCCACAATCAACTTCAGGGAAGGAAAATCAGGAAAGTGCTGTGGTGGTACTAGTGGCAAAGCTACAAACATTTTTCCCAGTCCCAGCCTAGGGAGCAAATGTGTTGACATTTGTTAACTCCATTCTTTTATGTCCACAGAGGGATAAAACCTGTGTCAGAGTTTTCAGTTCATCCTGGTAAGTAGGGTCGTTCTTTGTTTGAGACATTCAGCGTTGGCAGAATGGAAAAGCAACATTAGAGTAAAGTATGAACAGTGTTTAGGGATGTATGAGATAACCGCACATAACAAGAATTCAACCACTCCCCCCTTCCTCTCTAAAACCCCTTAAAAGGGGTAAATCACTCTAAGGCTCCGGATAGCAAAAGCCCTCACCCCCCATAAAGCTGAATTTAAGAATATCGAAACGTTTGAAAAAATATCAAACTGACTTTGATTAGAAAAACTGTTTCCACATCCCTTGAAACAGCATTTCTTGCCATATGGACAATCCATGTCGGTGTTGCATTCATGAATACAAAAGCCTAGTTGTCCTGGTTTGATAACAGGGCACCGGAGTGTCACAGTGACTGTAAAATATAAGATTTAATTGCAGGCGCACATGAGAAACCTGTTGAAAGTTATCAATCGCGATATGAAATATGCAGATATATTAATCCCATATTACTACATGTACAAAGTTCACTGGAGCATTCTAAATGTGAAGTAAGAACACAAAAAAAAATTGCCAGGTTTTCTTGAGTAATATAGTAAATAATTTCGTAAGGTCGGAGCAAGAATTGTTGAGTTTTTGTGAGGTATCTTAAATGGTTTTAACCCTTTAATACTCGTGTATAAAAAGAGGATGGTCGGGCGTGGATACGAATGTCATTAGTATCCTTCACGCGAGGGAGCAAAGCGAATAAGTGAGAGATATCATCGACCCAAGAAGGTAAATTAGTATCCACATGGTTGGAGGATTTTGATTGTGACGCGATTAAATTTATCTGATCTTCCTATAGGGATCCCTCCTCAACAACAGTTAATTGGAAGTTGTTTTCTATAGTCCTCCTTTTATACTCTGTTGGCGACGAATCCCCCTCGGTTCTACCTGGAAACCATAGGTCCCCCCCCCCAAAAAAAATCGTCCACCACCGGTGGTGGAAATTATAGGTTCCGAGAAGCAAACAGTTCTAAGAGCGAAGTTCAAGGAGTGCCGAGGGCTTCGAGGAAGAGATAATGTACGAGCATACTTTCGCGCCAAATGGAGGCTGTTTTCTTTCTTGTCTGTCAAATATCTTTGCAACTAGCGGGGAAAAATGTTTACGAACTGCTTACTGCAAAAGAATATAAACTGTTTATATCATTTTGGTTATTGTTTACTGCGTGAGATGTTCACATTTCAGCGTCCTCAGGTACGACTTCGGGACGAAGAAAATAGGTTCCTTCTTTTGGAACAACAACAAAACGCTCTCCAATCTTAAATTAAACTTTAAACGAAAAATTTCATCACATTGCAAGTAAGGTTTGGAAAAGGAAAATATCACTTTAGATATATCACCGGATATTCCCCAGTTTTAGCTGGGGCATACTCGGTCACGGTTCATGTTTGGACTAATAGCACGCGAGCAAAAAAACATGACGGATAATAAATAGTGGTAATTGAACTGAGTGGAGTGCAATTTGGGCTGAAATCATACGCGTGAGTCTCAATGAAAATTACGACGATCACACCTGGTTTAGAGGGGCATCAGCCCGAGAAAACTGAACGATAATGGGCTGAGAGTGAAAGGTCTTCTTGGAACCTTAAGCTTTGAGAATGCTACAAAGTTAATTCTTTCTTTATAAGATACGCATATCCAATTCAACTGCATTACGAGCCGTTTTTTGATCTACCCACCAAGAACTTTTCATAAAGTCAGTAATATTTTTCATTAAAGTTACCTTTCCTGGTCCTGTTCGAGGATCCTGATATTCCACCCTACAAAGGGTAAACAATTGTTATACATTGTGGTTCAATCTTCTCAAAATCACTTTTCTTCCATGTCAAGAAAAAATCTAACTAATTATTACACTAAACGCCATGTCTTTTTCGATGTGAAGTAAATTTTAAATTAAGGTGTAAAACCCGGAGTTCTTCCTCAAAATATTCTTCAAGTTGCATTACTGAGAAAAAGGCTCGATTTAAGGTAAAGCTTTGTATCAATCATTCTGACAAAAACCATTCGAATAGAAGCCAATATATTGAAGACAGATTCCCTTCAAATGTAAGAACAGCAAAACTAAACAATTACTTTCCGTATGATGGCGGCGAGAACAATTGCAAGGATAAAGTGTTTCATTGTTTAGCTCAGCAAGAAAACGAAGAACCCAAAACACACACTGGTCTAGTGTAAGCCTGCTGAGACACGTAGATTTTCTAATTGTATCTGCATTGTAGGGTCAATATCAACTTAATGTCAAAACATACTAATATCATATTCGATGTCGAACCAATAGAAGAAATTTGTAGAAATGCAGAAGTTTTTACGGATGGGCAAAAACTATGAACGAATCCAGAACTCTGGAAAACATACCAGAAAAAGAATTGGGAATCTGTTAGGTCCTTTTTTTTTAATGACGGAGGCTAATACAATCCGCGCCATAGACAGTTTTGTCCATACCATGACGTCATGAAACATGGCGTCACAGTCAAATTTTTAAAAACCTTGGCTAGCCCCGCATTTTAGTCCCACATTTTTTTCTGTGATATTTATGACCTTAGAGACCCATTTCACTTGATGTATCACAAAAGGAGCTTCATATCATGGCAGTTTGAATGGCGTCGGTTGAAATGTGTGGGAGAAATCACAATTTAAAGTCGAGCTATCACTATCATGTAAATCTGCGGTAAGTACGGTTTTGTTTTGGGAAAAATATATTACGATAAACATCAGTATATGTGCTTCAAATTTATTAAAACAGGAGTCGAGTGCACGTTGGTTTAGTCCGAGTGCACGGCCGTTGTTGTTGTGATTTGTTGTCCTAAGCCGTCATGGCGTCATGGCTTCTGCCACCTACTGATTTTCTCCGTATTCCCAAAGGTCCTTTCGTTTTTCGTTTCAGCTCATGAAAAACCTCAAGACGGGAAATAACAGCTGTAATTTGTACTACGATACAATCACTAGTCACGGCTGAAATATCAGACTCAGAAATATTCTTGGAAGTATTCAAAAGTGAGCGAAAGTGAGAGGTTGAACAGGAAATAGATCCTTGACGTCCGAACGCATTACAAAAAGACGGAGACCTTCGAATATTTGATTATTTGTGTCATTCACTAAGCACAAAAAAAGGATTCGTAAGAGGAGAAGTGTATGTAATAATGTAATATTCGTTTCGCTCCACTTTTGATAAAAACATACAGTGTTTCATAATACCCTTAAGGAATAGAGGATACCGAGATGAAATTTGGGTTAAATGTATATCTGAATTTGATTTCACTGGGAGAGAAGGGTCACCTAAAAACTTACATGGGATCAGGCTTGCAATCGATTGAAATCGTTTCCCCGTCTGACGGTCACCAAAGTGCCGAGAGGAGCTTTCTGTTTGATTTTCCTCGAAATTACTGTGTAGCAGGGCATCTGCGACGGCTTGTTTTCTTGCCAAATCCTAAAGCTGTCTTTTGCTCATTCCATGCTTTTAAAATTGATCTAGTAAGTCATACAATATGGCGGCTTTCCATCCCTGCAGGACGACTTCTTTACCATAGCTTAATCATGACGGAGTGAAACGACGAAAATACGAACATCATGACGGAGTAAACTTCAAAGGAGTGAAAATACACACATCATGACGGAGTAGCAAAAAGACGATAGACACTTAAGGAAAATAGATGAGGGTATAAAAAGTCGGGTCTCGATCAAGGTAGCGAAGATCTAGTCAAATGATATTACTTACACGGTATGCTTTCCTTCTTTGTATTACAGAAAATGTTGAGAATGGCCACAACCCCCACAATGCATCCCGGTTGAGCTTTAGTTCTATTAATTAAATGATAATTAAATTCGATAATTGAATTTGACATTATACGTGACACTGGTTAATTGGACTCTTGGTTAAAGCTAGTCAACAGCAAAGGCGACTGACACAATATTTGCTCTGTGAGAATTTTCGTTCTGCGTTTCATTATGAGTGAAATCAAGGCAGCTTATAAGACGTTTCCTGCCAAGGATGACTTCCCTGATCTTTCGCAGCATAACAACTACATGGCTAAAGCCCTAACACCAGAGATTTATGAAAAGTTGAGAGGAAAGGTCACCAAGAATGGATTCACTTTGGACGACGTTATTCAGACTGGTGTGGATAATCCAGGTAAGCCAGGAAACCAACCTCATTCTTGTTGATGTTTGCAAATGTTTTTCTGTTCGGCATCAACACTTGATTTTAGCCCTTTACTGATAACAATTTATTCAACCAGTCCTCGCGCGCGCGAGAAGAACTGCGTGTGAAAGCGAAACTGGCTTCTATTTAACAAATAGAGAAGCCTTGACTGTGCTCTGTTCTGTTATAAAGCACGCAGGAAGCGGCTAGAGCACGAAAGAAGTGTAGGGAGAAACACGAGACGTAGTCGAGCACAGTCAAGGCTTCTCTATTTGTTTTATAATAAAGAATCCGTTAAATTACCCAAGCATTACTTTCAATTTTCAAAACAAACTTTATTTCCAAAGCGAACAACAGTGTCGTCAGCGTGCTCTATACTCTCATAAAGCACGCTACAATAAGCCAATCAGAATTCCTGTTAGAACGGTTCAAATAATCTGATTGGCTGTACAAGACTAAAGCTGTCAAAAGTGTCAAACCATCAAAGTTAAAAAACGATCAAAGTTCACATTCTACTATAGTTCACAAACTAAAATAGTTCGGCAAGTCGAATTTAACACTTTTGCCTGAAGTTTTTAAGTCTCTAATACAGAATCTTAAAGTGAAATGTTCAGTGAACTTCAGCCGAATTATGGCTCATAAAAACACGCGAGTTTTTTCACATGACAAGGTAGAAAACAAACTGTTCATGGCGAGTGTTTTTTGAATGAACGACAGCCGAATTCACCGAAACATGAAGATCGCTCGGATACGGCAAAACTCGGCTGCGGTGACTTTCCACTCAACGCATCGGAAAGGATATCAGAGCAAGCTCTTATTTTTTCACTCGAAGGGCGGCCGATATAGTTTCTGAGACTTGCTTTACCGTGATGACCGGAGATCGCCATGATGAGCGAGCCGCGATGGACTTCAGCATGATCATATTCGCTCAGACACCGTCATGATTAGAATGAATTTTAACAGTTATGCCAGTTTGGTTATATTTTTCATCATTTCTGTTTGTTCTGTTTTGTTTTTGAACACTGAACTTTAAATACTATATATATGAGTGTTCGCTGTGTTTGATTTTTTTTTCCGTACGTAAGCTTGCAATCTAACTGAGCGTGAATTAATCTTTAAAACTCGGAATGTCTATTTTGTTTTTCATTTGAGGATTTTCGCATCTGCTCACGTTTTAATAACGTAAATTACGGCGCCTGGTATGTTTACAAACCTTTATTTGGTTCTTCTGTTGCTACTTGCCGGCTCGCTTGTTCCGAAACTTCACTTTCAATTATCGGAAAAAAAAGCTAAAAAGAAGTCCCGGAAAAGGTCGAACATAGTACAATTTGGCAGATGGCGTGACAGCTTTAGTTCAGCTCTAGGCTCTATACTCTCATAGAGCACGCTCTTTCAACCAATGACAGCGCGCGTTATATCCGAACTCTATTATAAATATCTGACAACTATAAGAGAGCAAAAAAAGTGGAAAGAAAAAAGAGAAACGTAGCGGCAAAATTCGATTAAGATTAATGATCAAGTCATCGCGCAGAATTCCTGGACATCATTAACTATTCATAACCGTTGAAACGGCAAATTTGAAAGTTTGCTTGCCGTGAAATGCCTTGAATAAGGAAGAAAGGGTTCAAATTAGCTCATTAGGCTTGAGAAAACTTACTGTTCTGATTTCCAGGAGTTATAACTTCAACTTTCACGCGCGGCTTTTTGAAGAAGAAGGTTGTATCTTCAATTTAAGCCGATAACTAAGTGGATATAGGAGGTATTGTTAGAAGTATATTTCTAACACTCTTAATATAGTTGAAGTTTTCTTTATTTTATTTCTTACATACAATTTATTACCTACGGACTAGCTCAGATCTCTCGAGGAAAGTGCGGGTCACCGCTTATAAAGGTGACGCTTATTGAGCTGTCAATCTTTAACCATCGTCATGCTTTTACACTTAACTAGCAGAGGTACCTTCGAGATGTTTACGCTTTACAAAATGATTTTCTACTTTAAATTTCTTAGTCTCACGGAAAACAAAAACAAGATTGACAATATAAAATTATAATAAACTTACTAACAGAATTAAAATCATAGTTGAGGAGATATCCTAAGAGAAAACAGTCCTTGAAGACTGCTGAATAACGACACAATAAACAGAAAATTCAGAGAAGTAAGGGCGTACCCAAGGTACGGCCTCCAAGAGAACTACGTGCTATTCGTATAAGTTTCCTGTTTATAAATTCAGTGTTGAGGATGAAAAGTACTACATGTTTACATCTTTAGTCACCTCTAAGAAAAAGAGGTGCCGAGCTTGCTGACTTATAACTGTGAGATAAGACCGCCAAAAAGAATAAGAAAGGATCAACTGGCCTATCATAACTTTTACTGAAATGGCTTATGGTAATATATGATTTCCATTCATTTTCAAAGTTTAAATAAGTCAAAAAACAATGAAAATTCTTACTAGATGCCAATTTTGTTTTTTAACAGTTTAAGGAATAGCTTTTTGCGCTTGAAAAGTGGGCAAAAATTGGCCATTTTTCAGAATGGGGGCCACTTTCATAAGCGATTTTCAGAAAATCTAGACGGCCTTCCCAACTGTTACGGAAGGCAATGAAAAATGGCTCTTTTCTGAAACAAAACCCGTTTCAACTTTGAAATCGCTTCACAGGAACTTTCAGGTTTTTGAGTTTAAAAACTACTTGTTGTCTTTGATGGGAGAGCTCTTGTACACGTCTGTATAACAATGGCTGTCAAAACTTACAACACCCAATCGAGGAAAACACTCGACTGTAACTGAAATATTCACAATTACCGCGAATTTCAAAAGTATGTTGTTGCCGCAGCTGATTTATTCGAAAACCTGCAATGAACAAGGAAAGCGAAAGAATCAGCGCGCCAAAAGCATGACGAAACGGAGACAAATGCGAGCGGATACGAGGATTTGGATACTTTGGGAGTAAAACCAAACCCCTTTAAACACAGGACCGCGTTGGCATGGAAAAACCGGAGGAGATCTAGGAATCACCAAAAGACGTCTTGGTGCACCTCATGGAAGAGAACAACAACCTTTGCGAGAGCGTGAAGGAAAAGGCGGCCAATCTGTATAACAATGAGAACTTTACCTTTGCCTAGTATAATGTATAATGAGAACTATACCCTTGAACTTTATCACAAATTATGTATTTCTGGTAACAAAATACGATGGAAACTACAACTGGTAGGATTTTCATACGATAAGAAAAGCGCAAATGTGGTCATGTGGAAAGACAAGGAGTATGAGTACATCTCAAGCACGTCAAATAAATAAAATAAGGAGCTCACCATTCTTCGCTTACGACTGTCAGCCGAAAAGAATGTTGAACAATCGTTTACGGTGTGGGAACAGACTCCTTAATCAGCATTCTCTTTAGCTGAATTCATCGATTATCTTCCCCTGACTTGTCTAGTGGTATGTGTTCGTAACAGCCGTCTTCGAAGCCGGTACAGAGCATAAGGCCGACGACATTGAAGAGTAACATCTCCTCGATGCCGACGATCGAAACGCGACCATTTGGCCATACAGCAACATCCTTTGGACAGTAGTATATAGAAATACCCGGTATATGCGTATTATTCTTGTAGCTAACATCATATGGCGCTTCGGTCACACAATATGTTCGTCCTATCTTCTAGATTCTCCTTCTCCACCATAGTTGCCGACGTGTCTTCACACGTTGAAGTTTTCAACGTCACGTCGATGTAACACGGTCGTTTTGGGGACACCTTTTGGCCGCCTAATCGTACTTCAATGCACTAAAAAAGGGTCAAGGAGAACTCGCTAGGCGATTAGGTCGATTATTTCTGATTTTGAATACGGCTATAAACCAAAAAATTGAAAAAAAAAAAAGTTTCGTGTCATAGGCACTTCAATCGAATATCGACTTTCATAATGGCCGATGGCGGAACTGGGAACGATTTTGCATGAAAACGAGTCTACAAAGGCCTCTCACGACGTAAAAAGGGTGCACATGTAATGGTTTTAGGTCAAGTTTTTGCTTTTGTGTGAAGGCAATAATACTCAGTTGGGATCAATTACCGCTTAGAATACATGCGTAGGGATTAGGAAGGAACGCCTTCACATTGCTGCGTTCCAGAAAGTACCTAAAAAGGCTATCGCGAAGATCATGGGTCGAAAGTGTCATACTTCCAATAGCCCTCACAAACAAAAATTTGTGCTTAAATCCTACCGGCTTGAGGTATGCCCGAGGAGCACTAGTGACGAGTTTCCGAGTCGGGTGATTATCGGTTGTGCCTAGATTCTACCGACTAAAGGTACGCCCGAGGAGCACCAGTAACGAGTTTCTGAGTCGGGTGATTATCTGAAGTTGTCGGCTATTTCAATATGGCGAATTATTCCAATAACACCATTTGCGATTTACCAACACTAATTGAACCAGACATGAACATTATAACATGCTTTATATGTGAAGAATACATTGTTGAGTTTAAATCAAGGACATTTCGCCAAATTTTGAGTGGCTGTTTACTTCACCCTCGTCGATCTTAAGTTTCTTGTTCAGCAGAGTTTTAGCTCAACACTGTAGCTGCTAAGACCTGCGCTTGCAAAGGTAAACAAAATTTATGAATAGCATCGCCACTATAATGCCCTTTTCATAGTGCTACTGGTTGGAAAGATCCCCAACATGAAATTTCTATTTTCTTGTACCTATAGCCGGTAGGATCTCAGTAGGCTTAGAAAATACTACCGGCTAGAGGTACAGCTTGCATACCTAGCCAACGTTGCTCAATTGTTAACACGGTTGGCTTCTCATTTTACTTTTTCTGCGCTCCAAATTAGTCTTACGCTCCTTTGAGTCAATTTTTTTAAGAATACGTATACATTTATTTAGTTTTATTCGGTCTTGTGCCTCTGCGGATAGGATCTGACGAGGCTTATAACATACTACCAGCCAGAGGTACATCTTGCATACTTAGTCGACTTTGCCCAATTTTTAATTTGGTT